TTAGGAATAATGGGAGGTAAGTAAAACTTCTGCTACTGTCATTTATTTTTCATTTGCAACATTTTGCACCTTGTAAGAATATCACCCTATATTTCAGCATATGCCAACTGCTAAACAGGTTACAATATCAAACATTGATGTTCCATTATCATAGGCATTAAATAAGATTGGAATTTTTTTCGTGTCAGGAGCAACTTGAGAAACTGCAAGTCGCTTCTAGTGTGAGAGAATTGGCCATCTGCAAGGACATTGCCCAGGGGATGCCCAGATGTTTTTGATGTTTTATCATCCTTGTGGGAGGCTTCTCTCATGTCCCTGTATGGGGAGCTGGAGCTGACAGAGGGAGCTCGTCTGCGCTCTCCCCAGCTTCGAACCTCCGACCTGTCTGCCTTCAATCCTGCCGGCACAAGGGTTTAGCCCATTGCGCCACTGGGGGCTCCAAGACTGGAATGACTGCATGTGTATTTGGACACTATCTCATCCCCATTCTGTATATATACCTGGAGTTTATGTTTTAAAACAGTTAAAAGAGTTTTGGTTGCTTTGAGTTTTCTGGGCTGTATGCCATGTTCCAGAAGCATTCTCTCCTGGTTTCACCACATCTATGGCAGGCATCCTCAGAGGTTGTGAGGTCTGTTGGAAACTAGAAAAATTGGGTTTATATATCTGTGGAATGTCCAGGGTGGGAGAAATAACTCTTGCCTGTTTGTTGCAATTGGCAGTGAAGAGCCTTGCAGCATCAAAGTCTGGCTGCTTCCTGGCTGGGGGGAATCCTTTGTTGAGAGGTGTTAGCTGGCCCTGATTGTTTCCTGTCTGGAATTCCCCTGTTTTCTGAGTGTTGTTCTTTATTTCCTGTTCGGTATGCATTCTTTCCACTAGGGCAGGCATGAGCAAACTTCAGCCCTCCAGGTGTTGTGGACTTCAACTCCTGGGGGAATCCGTTGTTAGGAGGTGTTAGCTGGCCCTGATATATAAAACCCACTTGCCTAGTAAGGTTTATATATCTCTGATGGAATCTCCAGGGTGGGAGAAAGGAATCAAGCAGGTCCAGATAACACCTCCCAATAAAGGATTCATCCAGGCAGGACTCTTGTCTGCTGGAGCTAGGTGTGAATGTTTCAACTGACCACCTTGATTAGCATTTGATTGCCTAGCAGTGCCTGGAGCAATCTTTTGTTGAAAGGTGATTAATGTGCTGATTGTTTCCTCTCTGTTGTTTTGCTATTGTAATTTTAGAGTTTTTTAATACTGGTAGCCAGATTTTGTTCATTTTCATGGTTTCCTCCTTTCTGTTGAAATTGTCCACATGCTTGTAGTTTTCAATGGCTTCTCTGTGTAGTTCACACCTAGTTCCAGCAGACAGGAGTCCTTTGTCCCACCCTGGTCATTCCACAGATATATAAACCCTTTTTTCCTAGTTCCAACGGACCTCACTACCTCTGAGGATGCTTGCCATAGATGCAGGCGAAACGTCAGGAGAAAATGCCTCTAGAACATGGCCATATAGCCTGGAAAAACTACAACAACCCACTATATATCATTATTTTTATGCCAAAATGTGAATTCAGTCTGAAATTTCTGATGGTCTATTTGGTACTTTCTGTTATCCTGCTTCTTTTTCTTTGTGCATATCACCCTAGATCCAGCCTTCTGGTGCTGTTGCTCAACATGAGCTTACCTTCTCTATGCTTAAATTCAACTTCGTTCTCTGAAGATGAAGAACCGATGCTTTGGGGTAAGGTTGTTGCTTTCTTCTTTTGTGACTGCTTTCCACAGGATGTCTTAATAGTATTGTAGGGCCGGTGACACCTGACCCTTGAGCGCTCCAGATGGAGGTCAGCTGTGACCAGCAATGCTGTGGAATTTGAAGAGGCACAAATGGAGGGTGAGGGAGAGAAATGTACCAAGAGGAAGGCGCGTCAAGCCAACCCTGACCGGTACTGCCTTCCACCTGGAAACCAATGCCCTCACTGTGGGAGAAGGTGTAGATCAAGAATAGGGCTGCACAGTCACCTGCGGATCCACCGCCAGTACACCAATCTTGGAGGACAATCCTGCTCGGAGAATGAGGGATCACCTAAGTAAGTAAGCAAGCAAGCAATGTAACAATAGACAGCTGGGAAGTTACACCTGTGGCCTCTTGGTGTTTCAACAGGTTGCGAATTGAATGCCACAACCAGAACATTTGTAGTAGAAGTAGAGGACGATTTGTTGGAACACCTGCTATATTTGAAAACGGTAAGCTCCTCTATGGTGATCTTTCCTGACCAACTTCTGGAATAAAGCAGCCACACATAGTCTTGCTTTCACATTGTACAAGGGTTGAATAAAAAGTAATGCCTCCACCTTCGTAACTCCTCAACAGATGGCAGTACTGGTATGTGGCAGGTACTGGCTTGTTCAGTAGACTCTCCTCTACAGTTCCATTTTGGTGGGAAGCCTTAGCATTGAAGGTTGTGTTGTTAAAGTGTGAAGTATGGAACCCTGTGCAGACAGTCGGTCAATGTGACTTAAGCAACGTGCAATCATTGATTTCTTGACAGCAGAAGGTGTCACCCCAAAGATGATTCAACAGAGAATGCAAGCTGTTTATAGTGATTGTGTGATGGTGCAAGTGGCGCCACCTATATGTAGAACTGTAAGTTGCAGGATTTGAACTGTTGTATCATGCCTGATTTTGCCTTTTTACCCTGTAAATGTATAGTTGGATTGATTGGTTATTTATAGCTGTCAATCAATGTTGTTTGCACCAGTTGAATTGCTCCTTTGTTTGACCCCACCCCTTCCTAGAGAGCAGGACAGTGTTTCCTTTTCCATTCCACCATCAAAATTTCTATCAGATGGACGTGAAAGAGAGGACTTGGCTCTGAAGCCCTTGATTAAGTTACCTCTCAGCACCAATTCTGAGGTTCTTACCCTTGAGACTTATGCTTCATGTTCAGATCAACCTGCACGACATTGAGAAGTCTCAAGCGCCTTCAAACCAGTTCTTTGGCACCAGAGGAAGACTTTGTGCCTTCAAAATATAGGCCATTGGAATTGGGGTTGTGATTATTCTGATCTTCACAGCCATTGAGAAAGAAGGACCTGGAAAAGCTTCTCAGCTGCAAAACTCCTTGGACCCAAGACAACCAGAGACTGTAATGTGTATTTTACTTTACCCCTTTGAAACTTCCAGCTTATTGCCTTAAAGGGATAACTCTTTGTGAACAATTAAACCTATTTTGAGTTATCTACAGAGTTTTGGTCCTTGGGAGTTCCAGTTTTCCTAAAGGAGGGCAAGAAGCAATCCCCTGGGGAAAGATGTCACGTCCATGCCTCTTTCACTAAGAGTTATAGCCCCCAGGTGCGACGGCACAGATTGTGTTGATGTGAGTACTGTGCATCATTGGGCGAGTAAGTTTAAAGATGTTGAGGTGGGAACATCTGACTTGCGTGACAAACAAAGAGTTGGAAGTCCTGTGACAGCAACCACAGAGTCACATCAACATCTTTAAACTTACTCTCCCAATGACGCACAGTACTCACATCAACACAATCATCTTGTGAAATGCCGATTATGCATGAAATTTCTCTGAGTGATACAACAATTGTCCTGAATCAATCTGTCAACCTTTTGCTTGTGAAACTCAGTGGTTGCTGTCACAGGACGTCCAACTCTTTGTCATGCAAGTCAGATGTCCCCACCTCAACATTTTTAAACTTACTCACCCAACGGCGCATAGGGGTCACATCAACACAATCACCATAAACTGCTTGCATTCACTGTTGAATATTCTTTGGGGTGACACCTTCTGTTGTCAAGAATTCAATGACTACACGTTGCTTAAGTCGCATTGACCAACCATCTGTGCAGGGTTCCATACTTCGCACTTTAACAACACAACCATTCAATGCTAAGGCTTCCCACCAAAATGAAACTGTAGAGGAGAGTCTACTGAACAAGCCAGTACCTGCTGCATACCAGTACTGCCATCTGTTGAGGAGTTACGAAGGTGGAGGCATTACTTTTCATTCAATTATCATACACAGCTTCCTCCTTAAACAGTTGGACGCAAGTTCTCATCATGTTCATGATTGTATCATTCAAGAATGGTGGAAAACCATGAAGATCATCAATCTCACCCTTTTAAACTGTTCCTGGGTTTGACACACAATGTGACAATAATACCATCCTGGAAAGACCTTCATTCAATCTGTAGTATCTGACAATAGTAATCGCTGGTGTGTTTTGTGTCATTTTTCTAGGTATCGCTGGGTGAAGATGCTGACGCTAAACTTCATGTGATAGCCATGGAGTCCAAAAACATGACCACCAGCCTCAAACCAATGCCATTTGTGTCTCTGAAACCCTCCGTCTTGCCAATGGTAATACTATGGAGCAAAATATTGAGTTAGAAATCTCTCAATTGCATGTTTAAGTAGTCATTCTTTCTCAAGCAAACACAGAGATACCCCTCTCTCACCACCACCACCCACCTTATGTTCTTCTGGCAGAGTTAAAATACATTTTTGGAGGTTGAAACTCAGCCACAATGGTGATGCGGGATATTGCATGCAGGCATTCAGCATGATAGGTCTTGTAGTCACGTCCCACAAGAAATGTCCAATAATGTGGCCAACCATGGTAATGCATGTCTTCTAGATGTTTCCAACTCTACCACAAAAATCAAAGTGTGCTACAAACCTCATTCAATAATGTCCATTGTGCCACTTCCACCACTTGATACCGAATTCTTTATATTTTCTCAATCATTTTTTAAATAGATCTCTCTTGGTACTTTTGCATTAGTCCCTCCTGTTGCCTTTACCCTGAAGTCTGGGACTGGGCCAGTTTACCTTCATGGAGAACACGTAATTCGTAAGTGGAAATCTGACTGCACGTGCGAGTGAGTGCAAGTGGGTTGGTGTGAGTGGAGGGGAAAGAACTCTGTGGTCAATTAGCCGAATCAAAAGATCTTTGGAGGTCTGTGTGGCTTACAAGAGGTCTTTGGAGGTCTGTGAGCTCTTTCATACTATAGTAGAACCTTGGTATCCACTGGGGTTTGGTTCCAGGATCCCATGTGAATACTAAAATCCTTGGCTACTTCTATACAATGACATTTTAACACAATGTCACTTATACGAGGATTGAATAAAAAGTAATGCCTCCACCTTCGTAACTCCTCAACAGATGGCAGTACTGGTATGCGGCAGGAACTGGCTTGTTCAGTAGACTCTCTTCTACAGATCCATTTTGGTGGGAAGCCTTAGCATTGAACAGTTGTGTTGTTAAAGTGTGAAGTATGGAACCCTGTGCAGACAGTCATTCAATGCGACTTAAGCAACGTGCAGTCACTGAATTTTTTACAGCAGAAGGTCCCACCTCAACATCTTTAAATTTACTCACCCAACGATGCACAGTACTCACATCAACACAATCACCATAAACAGTTTGCATTCTCTGATGAATCTCCTTTTCGGTGACACCTTCTGTTGTTAAGAATTCAATGACTGCACACTGCTTAAGTCGCATTGACCAACCATCTCACAAGATGATTGTGTTGATGTGAGTACAGTGCATCATTGGGAGAGTAAGTTTAAAGATGTTGATGTGACTCGGTGGTTGCTGTCACAGGACGTCCAACTCCTTGTTTGTCATGCAAGTCAGATGTTCCCACCTCAACATCTTTAAACTTACTTGTCCAATGATGCACAGTACTCACATCAACACAATCACCATAAACAGCTTGCATTCTCTGATGAATCTCCTTTTGGATGACACCTTCTGCTGTCAAGAATTCAATAACTACATGTTGCTTAAGTCGCATTGACCAACCATCATACTTTGCACTTTAACAACACAACCATTCCATGCTGAGGCTTCCCACCAAAATGGAATTGTAGAGGAGAGTCTACTGAACAAGCCAGTACCTCACATATACTAGTACCGCCATCTATTGAGGAGTTACAAAGGTAGAGGCATTAGTTTTCATTCAACCCTTCTAGGTAAAGGTTTTCCCCTGACATTAAGTCTACTTGCATCCAACTCTGGGGGTTGGTGCTCATCTCCATTTCTAAGCCGAAGAGCTTGCGCTGTCCGTAGACACCTCCAAGGTCATGTGGCCGGCATGACTGCATGGAGTGCCGTTACCTTCCTGCTGGCGTGGTACCTGTTGATCTTTTTTGAACTGCTAGGTTGGCAAAAGCTGGGGCTAACAGCGGGAGCTCACACTGCTCCCCGGATTTGAACCACCAACCTTTCCATCAGCAAGTTCAGCAGCTCGGCGGTTTAACCTGCTGCCCCAATGGGGACTCTATTGCAAAATGAAATAGAGAAAATTATCACCAAAATTGTAAAGCATTCATGTTTGGTGGAGAATGTCATTTCTCAAATTACTGCACTTAATAATAATAATAATAATAATAATAATAATAATAATAATAATAATAATAATAATATTAATAATAATATTAATAATAATATAACAACAACAACAACAACAACACTTTATTTATCAGCCTATCAGCCATCTTAGGTATATAAAATGAGGGAGCAGAATCTATCACTTTGTTTCCAAAATTGGTTTGCTTCCTACATGATACATCACCAAATGTTATTTTTGTTTGACTTCGAAATTGCTGTGAATAACTTTGTCTTGAGCCAAACACAACAATGTTTACTGCAAGGCAAAGCTTTAAAATAGCCAAAAATACCATTTTTCAGCCTTGTATCCTTTAAAAAGAGTTCAATCTTGGTTGTCATTGTGACATCACAGCCTGGCCTGCCTTCCATTCTTCTTCTCCTTCTGCCAATCGGTCTCCACCGATACAGAATTCTTTGTGTAGTTAAAGACATTGGCTCTCCAGTAACCGAAAACCCAAGCTCTTCCTTCCTTGGGACCTGGGACTCGGCTCCCTTCTTCCTTTTGCCCAGTTGCCCAGAGAGCTTTGTTGTGTGATGACCCTCAAAAGAGTGCCATTGTGGTACTGGTGGGTTATTTATTTACTACTGCCTTGCAACTGTATTTTCCAAGTTTCCGACTATGAGCCGTCAGAAGACGAACTTCCGCCGGATGAGGGAGAGGATGACACAGGTCAGGAAAATACGGAGGAAGACGAAGAGGCCAATGCAGAACCAGGTACGGACGATGAAGAACCAGGTGCGGACGATGCAGAACCAGGTACAGACTATACAGAACCAGGTGTGGACAGCGAAGAACCAGGTGTGGACAGTGAAGAACCAGGTGTGGACGATGCAGAGATGGAAGAGGTAAAATATCCTTGTTTACACATGGGTGTGATTATTGGTCACCAAGTGCGCCATAAGATCTTTTAGAATGGTATGATAAGTAATAGCCTGGACTATGCATGAGAAGACTTAACTGAGCAGTGATATTTATGGTAAACATTATGTTAATTCCAACAACCAACAGCCAGATCCAAATCCAAGTTAAGTCACATCACAGACTGGGAGAGCATTTTTATCCCTCCTTTCTCAGCCCAAAGGCAACTCAAGACAGCATACAGATTGGCCACAACATACATACCAGGGTTGAATGAAAAGTAATGCCTCCACCTTCGTTACTTGGGTTTGGATGGGAATATTTTAAGAAATCAAATGCAGAAATAATCCTTAGAATGTGCTCTTTAACTACCACTATTCACTTTTCCACATAATCACCAGACAATTGGATACATTTCTGCCAACAATAAACAAGTTTTCTGAAGCCGTCACGGAAGAAGTCGACACTCTGTTTCCGCAACCAGCGTCTCACAGTTCTCTCAATGTCTTCGTCAGAAGCATAATGATGTCCCCGCAGATCTTCTTTCATTGGGTTGTTGTAGGTTTTTCGGGCTATATGGCCATGTTCTGGAGGCATTTTCTCCTGATGTTTTGCCTGCATCTATGGCAAGCATCCTCAGAGGTAGTGAGGTCTGTTGGAAACTAGGAAAATGGGTTTATATATCTGTGGAATGACCAGGGTGGGACAAAGGACTTTTGTCTGCTGGAGCTGGTGTGAATGTTTCAACTGACCACCTTGATTAGCATTTGATGGCTTGGAAGTGCCTGGGGGAATCTTTTGTTGAGAGGTGATTTGATGTGCCTGATTGTTTACTCTCTGTTGTTTTGCTTGTTGTAATTTTAGAGTTTTTTAATACTGGTAGCCAGATTTTGTTCATTTTCATGGTTTCTTCCTTTCTGTTGAAATTGTCCACATGCTTGTGGATTTCAATGGCTTCTCTGTGTAGTCTGACATGGTGGTTGTGAGAGTGGGCCAGCATTTCTGTGTTCTCAAATACAGTTTATTCTTTATTTATTTGTAGCATTTTTATCCCACCTTTCTCAGCCCAAAAGCAACTCGGCAGCGTACAGATTGGCAACAATTTGATGCTACAACATACACACACACACACACACACACGTATACGTATTAGTATACGTATACATATACATATACATATACATACACACACACAAGGGTTGAATGAAAAGGAATGCCTCCATCTTCATAACTCCTCAACAGATGGCAGTACTGGTATGCAGGTACTGGCTTGGTCAGTAGACACTCCTCTACAGTTCCATTTTGGCAGGAAGCCTTAGCATTGAATGGTTGTGTTGTTAAAGTGCGAAGTATGGAACTCTGCACAGATGGTCGTTCAATGCGACTTAAGCAACATGCAGTTATTGAATTCTTGACAGCAGGAGGTGTCACCCCAAAGGAGATTCATCAGAGAATGCAAGCTGTTTATGGTGATTGTGTTGATGTGAGTACTGTGCGTTGTTGGGCAAGTAAGTTTAAAGATGTTGAGGTGGGAACATCTGACTTGTGTGACAAAGAAAGAGTTGGACATTCTATGACAACAACCACTGAGTTTCCCAAGCAAAAGGTTGACAGATTGATTCAGGACAATCGTCGTATTACTCAGAAATTTTAAGCATAATCAATATTTCTCAAGAACGTGTGGGTCATATTATTGCGTTGCTTGGCTATCGGAAGATCTGTGCACAATGAGCACCCAGGATGCTGACGCCTGGAATGAAAGCGCACAGACTTGAAACTTCAGAGACTGGATCTCACCACCATACAGCATCCTCCATACAGTCCAGATTTAGCACTGTCTGATTTCAGTCTGCTCCTAATAATGAAAGAAGATCTGCAGGGACATCCTTATGCTTCTGTTGAAGACGTTGAGAGAACTGTGAGGGGCTGGTTACGGAAACAGAGTGTCGACTTCTTCTGTGACAGCTTCAGAAAACTTGTCCATCATTGGCAGAAATGTATCCAATTGTCTGGTGATTATGTGGAAAAGTGAATAGTGGTAGTTAAAGAGCACATTCTAAGGATTATTTCTGCGTTTGATTTATTAAAATATTCCCATCCAAACCCAAGCAATGAAGGTGGAGGCATTACTTTTCATTCATCCCTCGTACATATCAATTAAAAACATTTAATATGACATAATAAAAATTCATATAAAACCATTAAAACTGCTCAGATTCTGTTCTTGATCCCTTCTTCTGCCTTCCATTTGAGTTCCTTTGTGTTTCTTGAGGTTCCAGGGAGAGGAATAACATTGGTCACTATTGCACTCAGTCACCATTGTATCTTTGCAATCAACCATGGAAATGTTCACACATAAAGTCATGTTTTTCCCTATGTGTTGGGCTATTGTTCCCATCACTCCCAGCTGTGCTAGGCTAGCGACACAAAATGAGTTATAGTCTTCTTTTTTCCTTGTTTAAAAATAATAATATTACTTTTTCAACACGTTATTTACACTTAATTCCGGTGTGAATACACACAAACCATTTGTGTCCACATTTCTAAGTCCTATTATTTATTATGGAGCCCCCCGTGGCGCAGTGGGTTAAAGCACTGAGCTGCTGAGCTTGTTGATCGAAAGGTCGCCGGTTCGATTCCACGGAGCGGCGTGAGCTTCCGCTGTCAGCCCTAGCTTCTGCCAACCTAGCAGTTCGAAAACATGCAAATGTGAGTAGATCAATAGGTACCGCTCCGGTGGGAAGGTAACGGCGTTCCATGCTGGCCACATGACCTTAGAGGTGTCTATGGACAATGCTGGCTCTTCGGCTTAGAAATGGAGATGAGCACCACACCCCAGAGTCAGACATGACTGGACTTAATGTCAGGGGACAACCTTTACCTTTACCTATTATTGATATTAAAGGTAAAAGTTTCCCCTTGACATTAAGTGGTGCTCATCTCCATTTCTAAGCCGAATGATCTAGCAACAGGAGCTCACCCCATCTCACGGATTCGAACCACCAACCTTCTGATCAGCAAGTTCTGCAGTTTAGCGGTTAAACACACTGCCTTTATTAATATTATTGATATTACCTATACAGTATATGCCTTTCTTTTGCTTATACCTTGATCGTTTATACAACCTTCTTGTTCTGTCGTGTGCTGGGCCTGTAAAGAATTTCTTTTAGAACAGGACGTGCAACCTTTGCCCAGCGGGAAGCCAGGGGGCCCAAGGAGAAGTTCTCAGAGGTTTTCCACCACAAATGACCTTTAGATGGCTTGTGAAGTATAACAAAGTCTTTTATTAATGAACAAACAGAAACTTCTCTTGCCTTCAATAAAGCTAAACAAATGCTTCCAAGTTTTATGCAACTGATGACTTCCTAATCTTGCCCACGAGGGACAGACAACTGTCTTCAATAACTTCTTCTTTACTTTAAATGGAAAATCCCCTTTTTAACTTCTCCCAGGCTGACTGTAATCTAACCCTTACTGATGTGGGCTCCGCTACCGGGTCGAACTGCTTCTTGAACGCCGAGTGGACCTACCAGTAAAGGCTTAGATGTTCTCCAGCTGGAGTTCTTTGGTCTTTAGGGCTGTTTTCCTGGAAATCTTTGGAGTCTTAAGACTGTGTTCCCCCGGAAAGTCTTAAGGCTTGAAGCTTTTGTCCAGGGGAAGCTTGCACACGTCCTGTACATTAGCTTTCCTTGCTGAGACTAACTAAAAATGAAGAATCATAAAATCAAAGAGTTGGAAGAGACCTCATGGGCCATCCAGTCCAACCCCCTGCCAAGAAGCAGGAATATTGCATTCAAATCACCCCTGACAGATGGCCATCCAGCCTCTGTTTAAAAGCTTCCAAAGAAGGAGCCTCCACCACACTCCGGGGCAGAGAGTTCCACTGCTGAACGGCTCTCACAGTCAGGAAGTTCTTCCTCGTGTTCAGATGGAATCTCCTCTCTTGTAGTTTGAAGCCATTGTTCCGCATCCTAGTCTCCAAGGAAGCAGAAAACAAGCTTGCTCCCTCCTCCCTGTGGCTTCCTCTCACATATTTATACATGGCTATCATATCTCCTCTCAGCCTTCTCTTCTTCAGGCTAAACATGCCCAGCTCCTTAAGCCACTCCTCCTAGGGCTTGTTCTCCAGACCCTTGATCATTTTAGTCGCCCTCCTCTGGACACATTCCAGCTTGTCAATATCTCTCTTGAATTGTGGTGCCCAGAATTGGACACAATATTCCAGGTGTGGTCTAACCAAAGCGGAATAGAGCATGGGGAGCATGACTTCCCTAGATCTAGACACTATGCTCCTATTGATGCAGGCCAAAATCCCATTGGCTTTTCCTTCCCAATTGCCCTGAGCAAGGGGCGGGACCAAAACTTAACGATGATGGACAGGTGACTTGCCCTATGACTGCAACCAAAGAAGCCACCTATCTGCAGAGTCCCTGAAACCTAGGACTGCAATCAAACATTTAATACAAAGCAAATAAAGTTGGAGCTCCTGGTACAGCTGTACCAGAACACTTCTCTTATTAACATTTAATTTTGCATAATAAAAAGCCACCCATGTTGCCCACCCATCACTCATCCCTCTGACTATAAATTATCTCTATACTGTTATCTTTAACCATGCACACAATGTTCCTAATTTCTGTGTGATTATTGTATTGGCTTCATCCCTTTTGACCCATTCTATATATGCCATCCATTTATTCTTTATCTCTTCTATTTTATCCTCTTGCATATCATCTCTCTTTTTACTTGTCACAATTTGAAATTGAACCTGATCATATAGATAACTATTCCAATTTTCCATCAAGTTTTTTCATCTTTCCACCCCCATGCTATTGGTTCTTATCCTTCCCAGGTCATACTTTTCAACAATTCTTTTCTCTTGTATTTATTCTAGTATTACCAAGTACTCTCAACAGTAACATATCTAAATTTGTATTGTTGAAGGGTTTCATGTCCGGAATCCCTGGGTTGTTGTAGGTTTTTCCGGGTTATATGGCCATGTTCTAGAGGCATTTTCTCCTAACATTTTGTCTGCATCTATGGCAAGCATCCT